CTATTCTCTGCACCTACCGAGTCAGTGAAGAACTACAGACATCTGTATCGCAAAATGCAGAGGTTTTTCCCATTCAGCATGCAGTATCAAATTCCATTAAAACAACACTCTGCCAGCAGTTCATACTTGCATCCAATATCTTGTTTGTAATTGGGGCATGCATGAAATGTTCCTGAATAAAAGTAAGACTCCCAAACCGCAGTTAAAGTAGACAAATTAAAAGTGAAACACCTGAAATTACATGAAACATGGAAATGTGGATATCGTGGTGACGCAATGTTAATCTAATTATGAGCTGTAACATGTAAAACGGGATCCTAAAAGGAACATCAAAAAGCAACTCATGTAAACACCTAAATCCTATTATTGTCTTATTCAGATTTAGGCAAATCATTTGATTATTGGGGTCCATGTAAACGTAGTCATTGATAAGTCAGTTTATATTATATACATAGGTCAAATTATTAACATGGGCATCCTGTTTTGACATCCACATCAATTTAAATTTAATTAATTAATTCTTTTTACAGTAAAAAGAAAGCATATTAGGTTCAAGTAAAATGCCTGATGTCTCAAATAGCTGTTGTGTTAATACAATGTAAAAATGGTAAACTAATATGGCAATACACCAATAAAAAGCCATTATTATGAAAAAATTAAGTCAAAATATTTTAGTAAGCACACACCAAAATATGTATCAAATAAAAAAGTTATCATACTAAATGTTTACTAAATGAAAAATAATGCAAAGTATGAATTCTTCAAATGAGAGTTAATCAGACTTTTGAAACTGCACTGTGATTTTAAAAACTACTTCTAATACATAATCACGACTCTTGTTCTGACAAGATTTTTTGGTGTATACACTTATTACACTGAATAACATTATAGTAGCTCTCTTCTATAAAAAAATGTATAACGGTAGTAATTTTTTTGCTCAGTGGAAAAAAAAAAAAAAAAAAAAAAGAGTACAAAACAGAACATAATCTAAGGTATGGGGTAAAAAAATATTTAAAGCTTCATTACACTTGATTATTTTTTTATAATTGAAAATATACCCAAATAAAATTATTCAATTATTTTACAATTCCTACAAAAAAAAACATAATAATAATTATATATATATATATATATATATATATATATATATATATATATATATATATATATATATATATATATATATATATATATATATACACATATACAAAAAAGTAAAAATAAATAAATAAATAAATAAATAAATAAATAAATAAATAGTATATTCCCAGTGCTGGGTTGCAGCTGGAAGGGCATCTGCTGCATAAAACATTTGCTGCATAAGTTAGTGGTTTACTCCGCTGTGGTGACCTCTGATTATATAAACAACATTTGAAGCATTATGTTCAAATTAAATGAAATATTGCTCATAGCAAATTTATATTTTGAGTGCAAGAAAGATTAGTGATGGCAGAACATGGGAAATTATCTGTGATTTGTCCTTCTGATTTCTGTTGCGTTACAGTGAGCATTTGAGAGGACTAAGAGCATAACCTACATGGTCACTGATGCATGATGGGCTTTGGGCTACATGCAGTAATAGCATCTGTTGGGCATGAGCTGACGTTTCAACCTCAATCTGCACTGCCACACTTTCCAAAACAGACAGAAACAATATAGTGCATTGAGCAGAATGTCATCCAGCAGTGATTAGCAGGACTACATTTTTAAGGTTACGTTTGCCTATTTATTTTGACACATTAGACAACAAGTCCATAATTGGGACATGCCAAGTGCTTATATATTTCCAGTGATGCAGTTTCCCTCAAGAAAAAGATACACTCAAGCAGGGCTATTTTAGTAACTCAAGGGGAAGAAATTAAGACACATTCACTTCCCCTAGATGAGAAAGTAGCAAGTCTGTTCTCACTAGCTGTGTTCCTGCCATTGCATAACAAAGGGTATTAAAAGCCAAAAGATGTAAGAGATATTTAGCATTTGTATTGAAGTGTCAAGTCATTCCAAAGACTTTACAGGACGTCGCAGGTCTGTCAGAGCATGTTTCCACCTGGCATTAACAAGCACATGTTAATGCCGGTGATCTGATCAACAGTAGAGAGTCTAAACAATTAACATTTCTAATTAGTATCTTGAGGCTTCCCATGTTTGTATTTGAAAGTTTGTTTGACCACGAGTCTGTATACTATGAAACCTCTGGACGTGGTCGCAAAAACCTTTAGACCAGGTTTACAGCTGTATTTATTTAGTATCATCCACTTGTGATAGTTGAGAATGATGAAAGCGTTTCTTAATATATAGTATAAATGGGACTCTTACCCATTGCATGGGTTGTCCTGGTACTTGGATGCAGTGTAGGAGAAGGGTGAGATGTTCTTGTCCACAAAGGAACCAAACCCAAGACGAAAGTTACTCGTGAGCTTCCTCATTTCTTCAGCCAGCTTGGTGCCCAGGTTGCGGATCGTGTCCAGATCGTCCTTCATGGATAGCGAGAGGTCCATGAGGTAGTACAAATCAACAGGATAGTCTTCCACAGGGCGCACTTGGACTTCAAAAGACGCCTGGTCACCTGAGGGCAGGAAGTGTGGTCTTTATAAGCAAGTTTAATGTATTTACAAACAGACTAAATTGAGTTTTTCTTCTCCAAATCAATCTGTAAATGCATACCAGGCCTTAAGCTGAGAGAGATCTTCTGTGGGTATATCTGGATGACATCATACTGGGTCACTCCTGACCCTTTGTAGCTCAAGGGTTTGCTCTGGAGCACAGAGCTGCCACTCCTCGGGTTCTCTATAAATGGTGCATCGCATCCCCTCTTCTGCAAGTTCTGGCTAAAGTCACATCTTGAGGTAAGTGTTCTGGCCTGTCCAAAGTCCTGAATCAGGACAAGAAAAAATATGACCAGGTTAAACAATGCAAGAAAGCATTTAATGAATGAGCAAAGCTACAAATGCACAGAAATTATGCACCCTTGTCTGAAGCATCAGATTATTCGGGTGTATTAAATTAATAAATAAAACAATAGCATTTCTGCCTGTTAAACTTGATGACTACAACTAGATTACAAGCTCTATATTGGTACAAGATGAAAGTAAGACTTATTTCAAAGGCCCTGACAAGAAAAAGGGCTGAAACAGTATTTATTTTTTTTCACCTTCACATTTTATATCCGTCAAAAAACATAGCAGTGTGCCTGTAAGTAGTGCTGCAGGACTGACATCAATCCATCTCGCAGTAACCAGCTGTGAATCAGTATATCAGGTTTTGAAATCATCCCTGCAGCACTATATTGGAGTCTCAGTGAGTTTTGAGACAAAGCCATGCTTTCCCAATGCCAACACTTGTAGCCTTCAGGTACTTAATAGCGTATAAATGTTTGACACAGGATGTAAATGTTCAAGACTATGCCAAGTACAAAAAGTGGCAAATCTCAGTGCCTTTAATATTAACACAAATTTCACATGAACCCAAATAACACCTCAGAGTGGCTATTTGAGGACACACAAAACTATTAAGCTTCAAAGCTGAAGAACTCACAAACCCTGAAACCATGAGATGTCAAGAAAACCGGTTAAATTACTACAACTGCTTTTTATAGCTTAACTACAATTGTCTCATTCAGTGTGTCTGCTGAACAGAAAAATAGACTATAACTATGTGTAAACTCCACAAATGTGTCTCTAGAGGAGAACATTTATTTATTTACAAATCTGATATTTTAATTGTGCCACTTCAGTCAAAGTTCTACACAGACTTGCAGTCTTCACACACACTTAAACACTTGTGTGGAAAAACGAAAAGTGCACAAGTCAAGTTGTGTAGTGCAAAGGCAGGCAGTAAGGCCCATCAACTGTCAATCACAGTGTCTGTCAGGAATGTGGCACGCGCGTACCTCTTGCGCGCACCAGGCGCAGCTCGGGTGAATGAGGAGACACTCTTCACAAGACGTGGCGCTGCCGCTCATACAAACATTAAGACCTAGAAAACAGAAAGTACGTGTATTCAGTTTGCACATGTATTCATATGACAGAGTTTATCTATAGACGAAAGAAGCAGGACAAAAATACAAGGGCGACATTACTTAAACTAAAAGTGACCAATCATTCCACTAATAATGGAGAAATAAGAAGGGAAAGCATTTACTATTACACACCACAACACTGACCTAACTTCAAACTTCACCATAGTATCATTAATGCCCACTTCTTGCATTTTATAGTAACGATACACATAACATAAAACATAACATACATTGTTACCTATATTAAACAATATCAGGCAGGTCTTGCAGAAGTAAAAAGTCAGACATTACTCTTTCACCAAACACAGCGCTTACCTTTGACGCTGTGAATAAATATTTCTAACACTATACAAACTAGAAGAGCCGGGTGGCGTGTAGATGAGCAAAGTTTCCACATCCTTCCCTGCGAAGTCCAAACACAGTTCAGCGCCAAACGTAGTTTTCCTTTTGTACAATAGTATAAAACTAAGTTATTATAGATATATGATTTTTACACAGCGGGTAACCGAGATCTTCTCTTTGTCCATCCTTCCCAAATCACAGCGGCACATACATGACTGAAGTGAGTGTCCAGTGCGCGAATCTGCACTGTAAACACATGAGTGAAATCCGAGTGATCCTGTAACAATAATCCACACACTCGAAGTTACTGTCGCTCTCTGTCCGAGGTCCACTGCTGTAATGCAACTTGCCCAGCATTCATACTGGGTTTTAAATCTTCAGTTGCACGAACATTTCAAACTTATTGAACAGGCTGTTTTCCTCGTTCCTCCGGTTGTTTTCAGCTTGGAAGTTCAATAGTCGAGTGTCCTGCCAGCGTCCCTCACATTACTTTAAACTCCGCCCATTGGAGACAAGACAGGACGTTTATTTTTTTCCCCAATCAGATTTCCAACAAACCCCGCCCGTTGCATCGGGATTGGCTAGCATGGGGATTTTCACAAGTACACCCGTCTGCAGCCCGCAGATCGGGGCGGGGCTGAATATGGGGCGAGACTGAACATGTCACTCCGCCCACAAGTCTTTCATTGGTTCATGGAAACAGACGTTGATGTAATGTATGCTTTCGATTCCGGTTTTCATCTCTGCATGGTAAGTACACATCTTCTGTCATGTAAATGGTCAAATTATAGTGCAGTACACCTCACGTATTATGTGTCATTTATTTAATTAAAGGCCTTTAAGGAGATATGAAGTTTTAAAGCCTAAAAAAAAATGTTTTCTGTGTTAGGGTTGGCGTTTTCCAGGTTGATCGTACAGTTGGTGGTTTTATTCACTTAGAAGAATAATGTAAACTTTAAAGAGTTTTGAGCAAAACAGTTCATCACATGAAGTTTATTAATATCAAAGATAACAAAATATATTTTTCTTTGTGGCATGTTCTCTAATTGATATACTCTGGTAATGTTAATGCTAAATATGTACAATATAAAACTTGATTCTTAACTTACTGATCTATACTACATTCTGTTTGCAGATCATTGGCATTGATATATATAGTCATCACTATGATTCCTGTGGAGCATATTCTCTGTTTTATTTTATTTTACCTCAGTTCTTTCTCTCTTTTGTTTTAATAGATTTGTGCATTTAATAATTTTTTATATATTTATTTACACTTCATGTTCTCTCTTTTTTTTTTTTTTTTACTTTATAACCCATGCATGAAACTTATGCAAAGGGGAATGTGAGGAGGGGCATGCCTAGTATAAACAAATTTAATTCTTTGAGTTTAACTTTAATATACTGTATGTTAAGCGACATGTTGATGATTGTTGGTTATTTTGTACAGATGCCGCCTGAGATCCTGTAGTGTATCCTACTGAGAGTTGTCACACAGGATGGTGATGGGACATTTCTGCAACTCTCACTGACATCCAGGACCTTCTGAGCAATTGTCATTCATTCATTCATTCATTTTCTTGTCGGTTTTGTCCCTTTATTAATCCAGAGTCACAACAGCGGAATGGACTGCCAACTTATCCAGCAGGTTTTTACGCAGCGGATGCCCTTCCAGCCGCAACCCATCTTTGGGGAACATCCACACACACACACACTCATACACTACAGACAATTTAGCCTACCCAATTCACCTTTACCGCATGTCTTTGGACTGTGGGGGAAACCGGAGCACCCGGAGCAAACCCAGGCGAAGGCAGGGAGAACATGCAAACTCCACACAGAAACGCCAACTGAGCCGAGGTTCGAATCAGCGACCCAGCAACTTTCTTGCTGTGAGGTGGCAGCACTACCTACTGCGCCACTGCCTCGCCGAGCCATTGTCAGTAATCCAAAATTCAAGAAGCAGGCTGTGTGTGTGTGTGTGTGTACACATGATAAAGAGTACAGAATATGCCAAGCACTTTTTACTGCAGATTGTTACTAATGCTGTAGTGGAATTTCCCTGTAAAAAATATATAATTGTTTTTATGTTTATTAAAGATATTAATCACAAACTGCTGTATCTTAAATTATTATTATTTTTTTCTATAAATTGTCAGTCTTCCTTTTGTACGTGTGCATGTGCATACACAGATGTTCTGTAGGTGAGACATCTGACATCTAAAAAACACAGATCTGCCAGATTTTTACTCGAACCGAGAAAGAGGGACTTTCAACTGACTGTATTGCTTTGTGTTGGTGTTTTACTGAAGATAAAGTTGGTATTTATTTCTCAGGATTGGTCAAATAAAAAAAATCTGAAGTTTACACGAGTGCTGCACTTATTAATGTCAAATTTATTTTCATTAATTTGTGTCCTGATAGATAAGTAATAAATAAAACTGGCCGTTTGTGCCACACTATTAATATAATATTAAGTGTATTTAATATTCTAATTAAATGAAATAGAATAACAATGTTGTATGTGACTCTTAATAACCAAACAAAATCATTATAAAAAATATTTTTAAAGATCTACAGTGCAGAAATGGACACAGAAGGGTTGTTAGAAAGTGGTATTAAAGTATTTACCCTGCATTTACAAATAATACAAAAATAAAACCAAGAAGACTGCATTTTAAATCAGTAATATTAGATTATGAAATTATTTGTAACTTATTAATTAAATTGTAGAACAGATATCAAAACCACCCAGTAGGTGGCAGCAGAGCACTATCTTCATTCAAATGGAGTAACTGAACAAAACTTTAATGGATTAGTAAATAATAAATAATGAAATTGATTGCATTCATAGATGACACACCATGTAATATGAAAAAAATTAATATAAAATTTTACTCATGCTGGAACATTTACATATAACAGATCATATACATGTATATTCATAGCAGCATCAAAGTAAAAATAAATCCATTATATGATGAAATAATCTGATTTAATAAGTAAAAAGGTTACAAACGTATACTTCCCTTAATAAATAATAGCTTATTCCTGCTCTTAATAAAACTCAAAGCAGTGCAGTATTGAAAGAAAAACAATTGGACACATGCCCAATATTTTTAATAGACTTAAATCAAAGTATAATTTTAATATTTTCAATTGTAAATTTTCCAGAGAACTCTTCCATTCAAAGGGAAAAAATTAAACTGAACTAAAAACACTGCATTTTTATTTATTTATTTATTTTTTCTCTCTCCATCTTTATTTGTTGTAAATATGCAATATGCATTTGCATTTTGAAGCAAAATAATAAACCATTAAAATATCAGAACTAAAATCACTGCGTTTCTGAAGTGACACCATTGTGAAAAGAGTCTTTTGAGTCTTTTGTAATATTTTTTAGCAGGAAAAATACCATTATGAAATTCACATAACTGTTAACATAATTAACATATAAAACGCTCAGCAAGAATGTCCACTTTTGTGCATTTCTGTGTTTATTAACAATAAAAATAATATTTAAGAAATTGTACATGCATTTCCTGTTTACTGACACTACGTAGTGGGCATTCACGCTATTACGTTTCCACTAACCAATGAAATTACAGATGGGCGTGGCTGAATGTGCAGCCCCGCCCCACATTCATCCCCGCCCAGATCTGCGAGCTGCAGACAGGGGCTTCTCGATTTTCAAACATGCTCCGATTGAACAGTTAACAGGTCATTTAAATATCTTCACCAATCCAAAAGAACAATAAGACGAAGGGCGGGGCTTCTCTTTGCAAGGTGGGAAATAATAGTCCACAAATAAGTCTATTTCTTTTTCGTGGGCCCTGTAGTTTTATCTTGCTTTCTATTTTTGTTTTATTACTTTAAATGTAATTCACAATTTTCCTAAAGTCATCTCTGAATGTTCTGCTTGCTCTCTCTATATATCTATATATACACACACATACATTTAAAGTCAGAATTAGCCCCCTTGTTTTTCCCGCCAATTTATAGTAACGGAGAGATTTTTCAACACTTTTAACCATAGTTTTAATAACTCATTTCTAATAACCGTTCTATTTAAATTTGCCATGACCGTAAATAATATTTGACTTAATATTTTTCAAGACCTTTCTATACAGCTTAAAGAGACATTTAAAGCCTTAAATAACCTCATTAGGTTACTTAAGCAGATTAAGGTAATTAGGCAAGTTATTGTATAATGATGGTTTATTCTGTAGACTATCGAAAAAAAAAAACATAGCTTAAAGGGGCTAATTTTATTGACCTTAAAATGTGTTTTATAATTAAAAACTGCTTTTATTCTAGACGAAATGAAACGAACAAGACTTTCTCCTGAAAAAAAAATATCAGACATTCTGTGAAAATTTCATTTTTTATATACACACACACATATATATATATATATATATATATATATATATATATATATATATATATATATATATATATATATATATATATATATATGGATAGATATATTTCACTCCACAAAGAAAACCATGAACGTTAATGTTTCTGTTCCCTGACATATCAAACACAAAAAAGAAACTAGCATTATGCTGTGTTAAAATACAGAGAAATTAAAATTCTGTGAATTCAAAGTTTATTTAAATTGTCCTCTATATGAACCTCAAATGAGGAAAGATTAGAGTGAACTTTTACACTTTTTATAGTTGGCCCTACTAACCAACACAGTTCTGTAGCAGAAAAACCAATTCAGCTTTAATTTCATATTTACTTACCTTTATTTCTATGGCGCTTTTACAATGTAGTTTGTGTCAAAGCAGCTTCACATGGAAGATTACAGTAAATTTAAAGTGTTAGTTCAGTTTTCAGTGTTAAAGTTCAGTTTGGGTCAGAGTAGTTTAATATTAAGCACATATATACACACAAACTGAATATCATATTAAAAAAATAGTTAATTTTAATGTTTTGTAATTTAATTTCAAGTATTGTATAAATATTTTCGACAAGTCAGTAGAATATTAAAACTTTAGTACTTTAAGATCTGACTTGATGTTCGTGGGGATGGATTCATCAGTCATGTGACCTTCACTGATTACATCACCACCTGTTTTACAGAGCTGTGCCGTTATCAAGAAGCCCATTCTGGTTTTACCTGAGCGGACTACAATGATAAAAAAAGCAGTTCCCTCCTCTACAGAAAGCACAAGAAAACAGTTTTATTTAGGAAACACAAGGGTAACTCAAAAATGCTGTTATATCAAAGTTGGAAATCTGAAATAAATGTAACAACTTTCTCATTAATTCCAACATTGCCTAAGGTCAGAGTTCACTCTGTGAAGGAAGTGTCATGAACAAGAACTACAACGAAATGGTTGAACGTAGCACTAAAGTTACCTGCAAAAATATAACTGGCGAGGGAACTATTTACAAGGCCAAAGGAACAAACAAAGGAAGAATGTTGGAAACCAGTAGCCATCAACTTCCATAATATTTTTCCTACCCAATCATTGGCTACTGGTTTCCAGAATTCTTCAAAATACCTCAATTTAGAAACAATTAAAAACAAAATGTAAATTTTTGGGTGAACTATCCCTTTAACTTGCTTAAAATACCACAAACTCAAACACGAGCGGAACTGGAGGTCTGTGTGAGAAGCTCAGAGGTCATATCTACAATAGATCTCAACGGAAGACCACTGAGGAAGCCCTGATGCTTGGCCCGCAATTCCAGCAGGGCATCTACGATCCTCTGCCGGGCAACGTTTGGGTGGCGCTCTGACAGCCGGGCCATGATTGTGTCGAAGCTTCCCATGGTGGCGTAGTGCTGTGGCACACATGTTCCAGAGGCTGTGGGCGAGTTGCACACGTTGGTCAACCTTTCCAGACTGCAGCGCGGCCCCTGATTTAAAACATACACATGACATTAAGGCTTTGGAATATAAAAATTAAAAATGTAAAATAAAAAAATAAATAAAATAAAATAAAAAAGAGAAAATTTATTTATCAGTGTTAAAATTGAACAAGCACAAATGTCACATTTGACAAGTTACTGGCTGTGGCACCAAACAAAACAAAGTGTTTATAACCGTATAAACATGAATTTTAGGCAGGATATTGCACAACAAATCTACATAAACCCGAAGTCAAAAATCATGTCCATTATCTCAGTCTCAAATGAGCAATTTAAAGAGACTTTTCTTTACATGAACCTGCTCTGCTTGGATTAGTCATTTGGCTCAGACAGGGTTTGACTTGTCAAATACATAGTGTATTAGAAAATAAACTGCTATTAACATTAGTGATGGAGAGTTCAGATCATTTTACAGAACAAATCTTTGAGTCATTTTGTTCAATAAAATGTTAAGAGTAGCTTCTAAAAACATCTACAACAAGCCTAAACATTGATCACACTACAAACAAGCACATAACATAACATAACAAGAATGCTGTAAGAAAGAGAAAACACAATCAATAATTGCTAACCAGGGGCCTCATGTACGAAGACTTGCGTGGAAATCATACTAAAACATTGCGTACACACAAAGATGTAAATGTGCGTACGCAGAAAAAAAATCAGATGTATGATATGTAAATATTCTTTTGTACATCTGAATGAACGTGCAACTGAGCGCAACATGCACGAGTACAAAACCTCTCCCTGCCTCCTCCCCCGTATGAATATGCCAATGACTCTACTTTGGCAAAACCCAACGAAAAAGCAATGGCAAAAGCAAGCAAAAAGAGAAACTTTGAACAGAATGTGAATTGGAGGTGCTGCTATCGGAGGTAGACCGGAGAAACACGGTGTTATTTGCAAGTTTGTTCTCCGGAATTAACAACAAAAGAAAAAAATAGAGTGGGAGAGTTTAGCTGATGCGGTTAACACAGTTGGGTCTGAACATCGCACTGAGTGAATTAAAGAAAGAAATAGTGTGATTTATAGCTGTAAAATGTTGCAGTACCCTTAACAGTGTCAGTGGCGTAGCACGTAAAATGCATGTCAACATGTTTTGACACGTTCGAGCATGAACTCGGTTCGAATCCAGCATCAGATGAACTCTTTCTTTTTTCCGCCGCTACATATCAGATTGCCAACTATTTATCACGAGAAAGACAAGTAGGAATCATTAATAAGTTTGTGCATCATATTTTATTTGCACATTTATTGAATGGAAATGGTTCTGTTTCACGCATGCAAATTCATCTTCAGATAGTGTCTTTATAGCAATGTGCGTGCGGTAGATCGCTCAGATTACATTGGGAAAACAGGCGACCGCTGCAAATTGTGCTTTAATGTTTGGCTGGTCAACTGTATGGTATGGAAACCTTATATACCTGCTAGATGAACCCGTCTCATACAGCTGCCATTGCAAGGCTCAGACACTTTGTAGAGAGCAATTTAACACAACTGCCTCTAGGAGTCGCCAATGGAAATAAAACAGACACGCACAAAAAATGTGCGTACGCCAGCCATAAAGCTGCCGTGAAGCTGCGCACATTCCCACATTCAGTTCATTGTTAGTAAATCCAAACGTGAGCGATTCTGAGCGTGAAACCTGGCGTACACAAAGTTTTTGTGCGTACGCAGCGTTGATACACGAGGCCCCTGGTCTTTTGTCTATAATTAGCTCAGCTCACCTTCGTGACATGTCTTCAAATTTAAGTTGTTAGATCACATCACATTGACAGTCTCATATATTCTTAACTAAAGAAAGGACCCATGAATAGTTCATCTTTTGAGTAGTTTGTTCATCACGTGACAGCATATAAAGTGATTACTCAAAACAGATGAAATCTGGTTCAGGCTAGAATTGATCACGATTGACGTGTCTTTCACGTGATGAACCAATGACTCAAACCGATAGAAGACTTGAAAAACTAATTTCTACCACACCTGCACAAATGTGCACATGTGTGAATGAACAAATCGTTCGAGAACGACCCATCACTGATTAACATTACTCACTGGAGGTTTCCTTTCTCCAATGCACCCAGTGGTTATTTTTAGATGTGCCTAATATGTGTGCAATTGGATTGCTGGCTCAATCAGATTCAAAAAGTTTATGTAAACACCTCAATTAATTAGATTTTATATATACACTCAGAATTTGTGCCATTGCTGCAGCAGTGATGCCTTGCTTAAGGGAATCACCTAATCAGAAGTATTAAAGGTGTTAGGAGTGCTTGTTATTCATTCCTACTAACAACCCCGGTCTGTGCAAGGACTCAAACCTGCAACCTTCCAATCACAAGTTCTAATCTCTAACCATTAGTCCGTTAGCTGCAAATAACTCATCAATGCAGACCACCGCCAGCTGTGGCTTGTCAGAGAGAGACAGAATAAAGCAGAGGACATAAAAACTAAAGTGAGCTTCAAGCTTCCCTTTACTATGCATGCTAACACTCTCTCTTATCCACTTGATCTGATAGATTGGTGTTGCACCAGAACCATGACACCCCCAAGACTGCACATCCACTTACCCAGGGAGAATGTTTATTCACTTGCCAGAAGAACAGAGCACCTGCTCTACTTATCCTTTTTTTTGCCTCATTGTTAACTTGGTTGCGCAGCTGACACCCAGACAGAAGACGGAGCTCCTCACAGAGACTACAGCCAAACTGAAAGCAAACCAAAACGGTCCAGGACTGGTTCTCTGCCATCTTCCACTACTACTTGAGACAGGTGGCGCACACAGGTGACAGTCATTAAAACTCACATCACCAGCCATGCATGCTTTTTGGCCCCTCGTTACACTTCAGAAAGCTAAATGAAACATCCAGCTTTGAGGGGTACCCAATGCGGGATGAGCTCCTGGATCAACCTAATAGTGCCGTTTAATTTCCACACAAGACTTAACCAAAAGGATACTGGCAAGTTCCCATCATTCCTGGTGCTAAAAAAACTGTATTCACCACACTGGGCAGCAACTGGCACTACTAAGTCCTTCCTTTCGTTCTGCATGGAGCTCCAGCAACCTTCCAACAAATGATGGACGTACTTCCCATAACTTAAACTTACACTGCTGCTTACCTTGATGACATGATGATCCACACGGGGTGTTGGGAGGAACATCTTAACTGCCTGCGGAGGGTGTTCCTGTAGTTACATCAAGCTGTAGTCACAGCTAACCCCAGGCAGTGTCACCTAGGGCTAACACATGCAAAGTACCTGGGATATCAGCCAGGGGGCATGGGCTGATCAGGCCACAGCAGTCTAAAGTCGACACCCAAAAGAAGGCCACCCTGGCCCACCACCAGCACAAAACAAAAGTTTCCATGTCAAAATTTCACAGGACTCGTTACTATTAAACACTTGCTTCATCAGTCTCAAGGCTCTCAGCACCACCCACGCTCGTCATGGGTACCAAGCCGACCAATCACAGAGCTTGCAATATGCATTATTGCGACATGTAGTTACAATTTTTCGCCCATGGTAATACACACAGCCTTTTTAAGGATGTTGTATGGACAGGTAGGTCTGTCAAAAACTCTACCCCCTTGCCTCCTCTCAACCTTAACATCTCTCTTATAAAAGGATATTTCTAGGTTGATGCTATTGATGTAGAATGTGGCGACCTACACTCCAAAGTCATCTCTATAGAGCCAAATCAATGTCGTCAGTAGTCATTACTGCCTTGTCTGAGGGAGAGAATATTCTATAAGGAGAATATACTCTCTTCCGATTAGACTTGAGCAACTAGAAGGGTGTTGCACCAGAACCACCATACCAAGACTGCACAGCCACCAACCATGGAGAACATTTATCCACATGCCATAAGAACAAGGCACCTGCACTATTTACCCTTTTCCCCTATATGTGTGTGTGTGTTTATTTTATGAAGTGTACGATAACAGATGCACAAAGCAGTATTGCATTCACTCGACTTAATTTAACAAAAAGCTATTCAAAAAGGCAACTTTGTTTTATCTACATTGACTCTAATCCTTCTTCAACACAAACGTTTTAAATGGAACGTATATTAAACACACATAAATGGATATTTGAATCAGATTGTTAAATAATATTTAAAGTAAATGTAAATACATCTGCCTTCCACTTCATACTTACTCCATGTGATGAACCGTAGGTTAAATTTTTTGTTCTCAGTTCATCCCCTGCAGTGTCTTCTTTATGGCTTTCTGAGGCGCTGTGGGACAGATCACTTGGTTTAAGATCAGCTGAAACAGTCCCAGAGAGATGCACCACCTGGACAGCATGACCTTGAAGGGAACGTCCATTTAGATCTTCAACTGCTGCTTTGGCATCAATATAGCTCTTGAGATAAACAATAGCTGCCCTACATGTGCACAGACAAGTTCAGTTCGTTAATGATAATAATAATGCTTGTATAACAACATTCAACATTACTATGATATATATTAATAATTGAAAACTAAGTAAACACTGATCAGAAACATGGTTTATGATACTCTTTAATATAACTTGAACTATTTCAGTAGGTGTGGAGCTTTAAACTCTTGATTGTTGTTGTACAGGTTCAGTGGGATTAGACAAGATGGGTAATCAGACTAGTCTGGCAAGAAATGCAAAAATCTTTTAGCTGAAAAAAAAAGAAAACCGTTCTGTCTGCTCAAAAGGCTTCCCATTATAGTTAAGATTTAGTGAGATTAGAATGTTCACTGAAAACCCATATCAGACAACCTAACCTGGGGGTGTTGATTAATATATTAAAACTTTGAAATCAGGTTTTGAGCTTGTTTGAGATAAGCAGTTTTTTTGTATGAAAATGCTTACCTTGTATTGTTGCTGAAAGCCGAGATGCAGACATTTGTTGGATTGTACTTCTCAAACCAAAGTAGTACTTCATGCTGCAGAAAACATTTCATTTAGTGGTGTCTGCTGCCTCCTAGAGGCTTTCACTTATTTGAAAAGTTTACACAAGTTGAGACCCTACCTCGGTGATATTGCCTGGCAAGCAAGTGATGCACAAGAGGGAGCTTTGCTTTGACACATCCTCATCCGTCCCTGTAAAAAATAAATAAATATTTGTTAGTCAATTAAACCAATCAGCCAACAGCAATGATACTTTTTCTCATTACAGAAGTACAGACTGTGAAATATCAGCAATTCACTGGCGATCTTAAGTTTCAGTTAACCTACTACACCTTTTGTCTCCATTTTGTGCCTCATAGTTTCTCTCATTTTATTCGGTTTCTCCATGTTTCCATCTTGATTTGGAAACCCAAGTTCCTCCTCTGCATCAAACCAAGCTTCGCTGCCATTCAAATCCTTGTTGGCACCTACTATACCATAGTATGGAAGTAAAGCACTGCAAAACACATTTGGTTTATTTCCTTTTCTTCAATCTGAGATTCATACCAGTCTTTGGTTCAGTAGAAATTCTTGTCTGCTTTGGCAGGATGAATAGGGCTTTATCTCTTTTGCTGCATTCATTTTTTGCTTCATCCTATTCATGGAGAACAAATTCTGACTATTCTAAATGTAACAGACTCGGGTACAACCCTTAATGACAATAATACAATTCATATTAGTATGTGAATAAACTACCGGAGCAGTTTCAATGTCCTGACAAACTTCACTGGGAGGCACCTTCATCGCTGTATGTTCTTCATCCACTTTGTGGTCACTCGCAATGGTACTATGAAGAATGACAGAATTCTTAATTATTTTAATAAATACATTTGGGAAAGCAAACTGCAATGTACAATGAATTTAGCTGTTTGATGCACGTAAAATTAATACATGGAACATAAAGCCTCTTACATGCTTATATGTGAATGGAGGCATGGTGAAAGAGTAACGGGAAAATCATTTTTAAAGTTATGGATCAGTTATACAAGTATAATAAAATGGTTAAAAACATTTAACAATTAACAATTAACATTTTTGCTGATAGTGAACATCAGGATTATTTAATGAAAAAGCATTTATTATTATAAGAAATATTATTAGAACACATTCAATCAATTTTTATTTCTAAAATATTGGCTGAAATACAGTGCGGAATAGAGTATACCTTCTACCCACCATGCATGCATGAAAGACACACAGCACACATAGACCTTTTAAGCAGTACCTTTCGCCTTTTTGCTGATATTTCTAGATGTTTTTTTATTGAAAAGCAAGAAATTAACTAAATATGTATTATTACTCTGGCCTATCAGTGTCCTGGCTGTAAAGTGCAATGTGGCAACAGTGTTCTCCCAACTCATTACAGGAAAATCAATCAAAAAAGTACAACTTCTGTAAATGGCGTTACTTTTCAGGATATTCTAGACTTATAATGGCCACCTACCTTCCTGCACAGTCTAAATGGGCCGCAAGAACCTGAAATGAGACCTTATTACCAATTTGTTTAGTTTGTTATTATTGTTTATATCACAAATATAACAAAATCTCAAAATTTACAACAATGTGAATTCTGTAATACCGATGATGGGCTGTAATTTGTCCCTGTAGATATCTTCTCAGAGTTTACTGATAGGGGCGCAAGATCATCCAGAGGAGTACCAGCCAGAATCTGTTGTCTCATCTCATGGTAATCCTTCTGTAGTGTTTTAAGAGTTTCTGCTATGCTGTCTGGCAGTGCCTCGGTACTAAGGAATGAACAAAACCTCAAAAGATAAGATTGTCATAATACAAATCTTTCCTTAAACCAAATGCTACTTTCTCACCCCTGATAAGCACTTTCACCAAGTGGGGAGGTGAAGTAGCGTCTCCAGCAGTGCTGTTGGCACATGACAAACTGAAGAGCAAGAAGATTTAGCTCTGCTTTTCTTACTCGCTGGGCACAGTCACAGCCACACAATCTCCTGCAGTGGTCACCAACAGGAATAAAAACCAACAAGTAGTTGAATTAGGGTTGTCTCCTAGAAAACATTTTTACTTTTTAAATTATCTCTGAACCTTGGATACAAGTAGAATATCTATGCAGCAATATCTCTATGTAAATTGATATATAATTTTAAGTTATAATAGTAACACTATAGATTGCTACATTAGTTTAGAAAAATACAAATCACACTGAAAAACAGAACACAGAATAAAAAGTCAATGTAAGTTAGCTGTATGTAAGAATGATTCTGTATTAACAGTGTTCTTAACACTGACAATAACAAAATTCAAGATTAAAGTTTAAGTCCAGATGAACCGGAAGCTGTGACTATTATTTTTTTGTATTGTGACGCAGTTCCTAGAAAAACTAAATATCAAATGACAAAGTAGTGGGCGTGACTTTTTCTTTCTACTGCAGGGGTGGCTAACCCTGTTCCTGGAGATCTACCTTCCTGCAGATTTCAGTTGCAACCCATATCAAACACACCTGCCTGTAATTATCATGTGGTGTTCAGGTCCTAATTAATTGGTTCAGGCATGCTTGACATGGGTAGCAACTGAAATCTACAGGAAGGTGGCTCTCCAGGAACAGGGTTAGCCACACCTGTTCTACTGCGAGCTAAATGTATGTAGTAATGTAGTCAGTTCATTCAGAAAGATTGGGGAAAGTGTTTGGAGAGAGTTATTACAACCTTACGGACACCACCTCCTTATCATTTGATTAAATAGGTTAGCCATGCCCAATACCAAAGATATACATAATCTAATAATTCGACTGAAAACAAACAGGAAGTGCATTTTCAGATTCTAAATAAAGATTTGAAGGGCAAACTATTTTTTTCTTAGCGGCGTGCACAAATGAATTGCTCATCACAAAACTAGCAATGTCAGCTAACAAAATCATATGGTTAATTTTGATTCCTTGCATATATACAACACTGAATAAAATGTTTATTAATGCAGGGAACCCATATATTTGGAGTTATTACCCGAGCAAGCCCAGCAGACACACAACATTAAAAGATGTTAATATTAGGTTAGATTTAGGTCATGATGTCAGGTGACCAAAATGCAATGTCTAGGATGCTGGTTGGTTTTAGGTTGTGTAGGAAAGCGACCAAAATACAATGTCTGATACATGTCATAGTGGTAAGGTCCATGCAACGTCAAGATGTAACATGATTAGATTTTGATATTTGGGTTGGACATTGACGTCAGCCTGACTTTAGGTTCTGAACTCAATTTTTCAACTCTATTTGAGCTAAAACTTTCACCTACCTTGCATTCATGCTCTTCATCTGTTTCAACCCCTTCTCAGTCTCTTTTAGCTTTATAAATTCCTATAAGTAAAAGACCAGGACATTATACATGGCTCATTTGAAACGGCCACACGTCCAACTATCTAATCAAGGTAATACATAAAATATGTTACCTCAGTGAGGACATCCAAGTCTGACATATAAACTTCAGTAATGGTGTTCTTATCAGATGTGGTCATTCGCATGGTCTGAGTATCTTTTTCATGGCTGACAGCAGGCAAGTCTGTGTCAGTAGCGACATTTTTCACCTGGAAGGTCTGATCAGTCTTTGTTGCACAAGTAGATGTAAAAAAAGCTCTGAAATCACCACAGGCATCTATCATTTGGTCCACATAGACAGAAGCGCTAGATTTGGATTTTGGTGAGGAACCCACATTGCTCTTGTTTATCTGTTGCTCATATCTTGAGTCAAGACAGTCTCCTGACTCTTCAGCCAGCTCAAATGAATTGCTGACACAAGAGAAACAATCGGTAGAGTTTGCAGCAGTGCTGTTGGCAGCCTCTGATAGTTCATCTGAGAGTTCTGTACTGCCTTTGGTAGCAGTGATTGAATCATTGAACCCTGTCTCTGCACTCTGGCTGCCATTGCTCCATGCAGTGTGGTCTAAGCTGATGCTACTAAAACTGTAGTATTCTGGCATGGTTTCCTGGTCCACATTGTGGTCATTTTCTTCAGTGGGATTATATGATTGATTTTGGTTATTTTGGGTGTTGTCATTTCTCTGAACCTGACTCTGCACATCAAGCTCCATATCGAGGCAGAAGCTCGCTTGGGCTGATGTGTCCTTAAAATGTTTGGCATCTTCCCTGCTTTCTACTTCCTGCCACAGCTGAGAGAGGCACTGGGCATGAGAACACATTCCTTTACTGTAGAAATGAGGATGCGCTTCAGGGCTTCTCTGTTTGCTCCTAGTGTTTAGGGTGCTTTGCGTGCAACCTAAATGGATATTTTGCATTTCAACATTACTTTGGGAAGTTTGGAAAACATTTAGCTCTTCTTTTAGGCTGTTTGGGAGCAGCTGAAGTTGTTTTTCATTCTCTGAACAAGAAAGTAATAATCAGTACTGCAGCAGCTTGAGAATTAATTAAAGTCATGTCGTCTTACCTGACACACTGATTTTGTCCTGTGAAATCACAATGTGAACACCACAACGGGTGCACTTCTTGGTACCAAATGGACAACTAGTCCCACAGTTTTGACACCCAGATGAACCATAAAATGTTGGGTACCTGGAACTTAAATAGATATAAACATCTCTCTCTCTGTGTGAATGTCTTTAAGAATCATAAAAAATAAAATAAAAAAAAACAACAATTTAACCAATTTTCTATGGAGTGTTAACAAGTTTTGTAATGAGGACCAGGCCACGCTGTCCCCATGGTGCAATAATCTTTAAATATTCAGTTGTATTATAACCTTTTATAAATAAAAATTACATCTGACAATAGTTCAAAAAGGAATGATAGGCCAGCGTAAAAAAAACAATGTAGTGTTTCCACATTCGTTAATGACCTGTCCGTCAATACAGCTTAATTTATTTCATTATATCCTCTGCATTTAATAAAATAAAATAAATAAATAAATGTGTCCAAGCGACTAATAAAATTGACTAAGCCTCTATAAAAACTATAAGGTGGCAACCCGCTCTGTCAAATGTTAGTCGACATATATTATATAGGGATGTCACAATACAACATTATAACTTCCGATACGATACCGATATTGCAGCCATCAGTCCGATACGATACCGATATAAATCCGATATCAGCACAAATTATGAATACTTTATTTTTACCTATTTTGTTGAGTCTAATGTATGAACGGCTAGATCAAACTGAGAACAAGTCAGCAACAGTAGTAAGTATGGAAAAAACAACCAGTTTATTAACTATTGGTTGCATAAATGTGAACTTTTACATAAGAATATATAAAAAGAATTAAAGAATAAATATTAAGACCCTGAAAAATATCTTAATTGAATAAACAAAAATAAAATTTTAAAGTGCAAAATGCTAATTAAAGGTCACTTCAGTTGTTAATTTTTTACCATCATCAAAGAGTAGAAACAGCTGAGAGCAGGAACATTAGAAAAAATACTGTTAATTGAACAACTGCTAAAGGTTCAGTGTCCAAAATTTCAATTTCACACACAGCTTTTTGATGAATTTTTGATCCAGTTGAGCTGAAAAATATGTTTCACACTGGGCAGCAGAAATAATTTATTGTTAAGTTGATAAAAATTTGCAGTATGGTTAGTACAAACATTTACATGATCAGAGCTATTTCATCTGTGTTTGTATCATAAGAAGATTATGGCTGTATCAATGTTCCCAAACATTAACTTTATAATAATAGGCTATATATTGCACATATTATATTTAACATAAAAATACTTGCAGAGGCTGGATTGAAACACACCTTTTCTCCACAGCACTTGAAATAATGTGACTTTTAAGAATAATTTTATTTATCAAAATTCATTATATTTGCATATTTGCACAGATTCCACCCTACTGCCCACATGGGAAAATTAGACAATGTAAATAACAGCAAACTGATGTGCAAAGCTGACACTGTTTATCAGAGCACTTTATCTTTCTGGGCTTTTTAAAGAAGAGTTAAACATGGAAATGTCTCTAATAAAATTTTCCTTCTGCCCCAAAAGTAATACCATTCTTTCTTTTAAACTGTAATGGCCATCAGCAACAGAATGATTTCTTATTCTAATTTAACAGACAATGAAAACAACAAAAATGTTTAGCATTTTACATGACACTGTTCCTTTCAGAGTGTTCAAGTAAAAAAAAATGAAATAAAGAATAATAAATCCACTATTTCACTCCTACTATCCATGTGCACCACTGACAGGTCAAATCTGCTCCCTCTCTAATCTTGGTGCTGCTGAGAGATTGAGATTGAAAGTTTGCGTATAAAATAATGTAGAAACACAGCTAAAGAAAGCAGAATCCGGGACATGTTCGGCGATTTAGAAATCTTGGCTGAATGCCATTTTTAAGTCCCAAATAGAGGACATGTCCGGGAAAAAGATAATGTATTGTAGGCTTTTTTCCCGCGTGTCCTCGCGCTCTTCTCAAAGCTAAAGTCAGAGCAGGTGTCCAACGCGTCTCTGTGGGTCTGCTGCAGCAGCAGAGCCCGCGAGTCTGTGCCGGAGACTTTTCTCATGCACACAGAACCGGGCCGCTGAGGTAAAGTCTTATGTGTGGGCAGCGCTGGTGATGAATTAGGTATCACACTGGATGAACCACGATATGCCAGGACTGAATTGAGGCTCGCACGATGTGTGCTACGTCGCCATTCGGTGCCTTATGTTGCTTAGCGGCCTTATGCAAAACAATGTAAAGATTGCTTGACGTGAAGTAAATAAACCAGTAACGTTAGAGATGTGCCGTTGTTGTAGCGTCAGCGTGTGCTACCGTCACAATAGATTTCTATCGTAATACACCATAACTTAGTGTGAAGAGCATGTTAAATCTTAGAGACTTTGTTTGCTAGCAAGCAGTGTTGTGATCACGTGGGCTTTGCACGCTGGCTCTGGACGCTGCTGGATAGAATAGCTGTAACGGAGTTTAAAGAGTATCAGACTGCTTATATCGGAGATTTTTAACGCAGTCCGATATAATTTTTTGGACTGATATCGGATGAATTTCCGATATCAATATCGGATCGGGACATCCCTAATATTATATTTGAGAAACTCTGCTGTTATGGATGTGTTATTTGCAGTAAAATCTCAAAACATAAAATTCACGCAAAAAGTATGTTAACGTTGTATTGAAACATTTGTTTACAATTTCCAAAACTACCAATCACAGAGTTATGGGATCAGAAAAAAAATAAATAAATTCAATCCATAAACATTTTTAAGATTTTATATGAGGAAAATAAACATGCGTTATGGATGTGACGAAAAAAAGTCAGCGAGTTTACAGTATACAACATACTTTGTAGAAATTCTGTGAATTAAACTGCACAACCCAAAAGAAACAATGTTAATCAAAAGGATAGGAGTCGGCTCATTATAGAGCAAAAATTATTGATTTTATTTTACTTTACATTTATAAGGAGAAAGCTTTGTTATGGATGTGACACCTCTCTATTATGGATGTGAAATTGCACCTTGTTTGACTTTGGTAAATAAAATATTATTGTTTAGAAACATTGGACAGGGAGATTTTTGAGTATTTCTGAAGTACTGTAAAATACAAGCCTACACAAATATGCAGAAACAAATTTTTATGGCAAGGTAGACATTTGCAGGGAATTGCTTATATATATGGAATTGATTGGTTACGCCCTAAAAGTTTTACTATATTAATACCTAGATTAACAACCATAAACAACGATAAATACATGATACAGCTTTTTGTTATTAAAGTATTAGTAAATGTTAAAACGATCACTAATAAAGGTTAATAAATCGTTTAGAAGCATTTACTTAGAAGTAGTTTATGTTAACTAATGTAATTAACATTGCTAATTACATGCATTGTAAAGTGTTACAAGTAATAAATATTAACCAGATCTTTTCTACTAAGCAGATCTGAATGCGAGCTTGATAAACAACTATGAGTGACAATAGAAGGATACAAAAGTGTATTAAAATGCATATAAAACAAACTGAACCAAAACTATAGTAGTTCTGGAGTCGACTTACTCGTTTGATGCCATAGTTGTAGGAGGGGGAACGTAGTTTCCTTTGGGTTTTGCTAAATTAAAAAAATAATAATAATAATAATATTTAAGCAAACAGTTAACCAGATAAATTGAATATCTTAGTCTTTATAATATTTTACCAACTGAACTCACCTTTTACATAAACATACTGTCTGGTTACTCCAAGTTCTGGATGTTTCTTTAAAAAAGACAGAAGCCCTCCTTCGTCTGTGCAGGTGAAAACATTTTTCTTTATTGCTCTCATTTTACCCACATATTTTAAATAATTAGAAATGTATAATTTATATGCCCCTACTTTGTATTAAGGTCCTGTCCTCTGCTGTTAAGTATAAGAACCATCCAAGCAACTTTGGGTTTGTGAGCTCCAGATAATTATTGGCGAAGACAAGTTCAAACAGTGACCTGTAATATGTACAATTGCCTCCCTCAGAACAACATGGTACTCAAAATGTAGTGGTTCAAAGTTAAAACAGCATTCAACTGAATTATTTATTCTAATCTAATTGAATGATCTTGTCTGCCAGATTTTCATACCTCCCATTCAAAATGTAACTTAACAGCGTATATATTATTGTGAAGTGATGTGATTTAAAATATGCAATATCTACCTAACCTACCCCAATCCCAACCTCAGAACTATTCAAATACAGTGTTGGTAGCATAATCGGATAAAATGTGAGAACACTCGGTGTAGCGGGTGCTTAATGCTTACCTCATCAACATACACCTCCTCCTAACATCGGTATACAGGGTTTCATTGTGAAAGCCTTGAGAGATGTGCAAGAAATTCAGCAACACTGAGTGAAAAAGATCATATATTGACAACTAACCACACGTGTGACAACAATGAAGACAAACCCTCGATTAATTTCTGTTAAATTACACTTACGAGTGTAAAAAATAATACGTGAATTTTCTAGATCATCTTCGAGTTTTTTTTCACAGATTCTTTTCTATCGTGTTGTCCGTTGTGCACGTAACCGCGGCGCGCATGCGCACATAAGGCCGCGTGCTCTCTACGCCCCCAAAGACTTTGCCCAAACTAATATCAAAGACTACAAAAATACTTACTAAATATATTAGCGCGAATGTAAGCTGTTTTACGTTTATGTGCGAGACATCTGATCCATTACACCTACTGAGAGTAAAGAACTAGAAAAATAATAAAATCTTGATCAAACTTTCTAACTGAAATGTGCGCATTTATGGTTACAACAAACACTACAGTCTAATACCAAATATTTGTATGCAGTATTAAGCGTAATTGACCGTTTTTGTCTTACGGAATTTATGCGCGTGCCCGCCTTTAATAACCCTTGCTGGTCATGATGACTCATATGCGTTGTCTGACTTCCATTTTTCGGCGAGGCTTTGAGGCAAATAAACACTTGTATACACGTTATAACGTTACTTTACATGTGAGCATTGCTGAATGGATATTAGTTTGTGTGTAACATTACTGAGAAATTTGAGTAGCGCGAGCACTTTTCTTCAAAATATAATATCTGATGATTCATTCTTAAATAGAAAATTGTAAAAAATCTGCTTGGCCTTCTAGGATTTTTGCATTTTGCATTATGTAAACTAAATTAAAACATTAAAGATATACAGATATCGCCTAGTCTGCCAAAAAAAGAAAAAGAAAATCAAGAAATGTCTTTAAAGGCTACAATGCACATGGACAACTCGAACCTGTTGAATCAGTGAACTGTTTTGCTTTGGGATCGATGTGTAACTCACCGGTCATCTCGTTCACTGCACGCTGGTCAAAGGGAAGGAAGTGCCATTTGGCGATGGCACTGCGATCCTCATATGTGACTGAATGTGACTCGAAGAAAGGAACAACGGCAGCTGGAGGGTACCACATTTTCTGAAACACTAAATGATCAAAATTAAGAAAAGGTCACCGGTTATTATCAACAACAAAGCACCGACAGAGGTTCGTCGGGCACATGTTTTTCCGCCTCAGGTGAAGCACTCTCTAATGATCAGAGCGCAGCTGCAGCTGCTGGATTTTCTCACCACTCACTTATCGATTAGACACCGGACGCCAGGAGAGTAATAAATAAACAGTTATTTGTGTCATTATTAGCCGAATAATTATGATTAGGTAATTTTAAGCTTCTGTGAGAAGTCAAAAAAGTTTTTTTTAATTAGTTCAGACCTGTTTAGTGATGATGACTCGTCTCCGCGATAACACGATTCGTTTTTTCCTCGAATAGTTTGAAAGAACCGGTCAAAGCGATTCAATGATTCTTTTTACGTAATGATGTATTGCGTTATCAAACGGTTCTTTAAGAACAATTGTGTAAATAAATAAATACAGTACTAAAAAGAGCTGATATATATATATATATATATATATATATATATAGTTGAAATAAGAATTATTAAACTTTTTCGAGTTTACAGAACAAACCATCATTATACAATACCTTGCTTAATTACCCTAACCTGCCTAGTTAACCTAATTAACTTGATTAAGCCTGTAAATGACACTTTAAGCTGTATAGAAGAGTCTTGAAAAATAACTAGTCAAATATTATTTACTGTCATCATAGCAAAGATAAAATAATTAAAAATATATTAAATATTAAAAAAGAGACATTAAAAATATTATGTTTAAAAAAATCTTCATATATATATATATATATATATATATATATATATATATATATATATATATATATAAAGATGCAATTTAATAATTTTGTCTTCAACTGTCATTGATCATTAGGGGTTCATGGCATTTAAAGGATTGAAAATGTTAAAACAATAAAACCACCTTTGTTGAAACCTAAATTCATTTACTTTCAGTAATTGATTTATCTTGCAGCTCTTCAGTTTTTTAATCGAGTATCACTATAATATGTGATATAACTAATACAATACATGACCTGTAATCTTATGAATGCAGTTTCTCATCTGGCCACTAGAGAGAACACAAACCATGATGATGAATGATGTTGCACTGATTTTACAGACAAGTAAAAATACATTATATTATAACCATTTTGTGTAAGTAAAACTGTCATAGTTGAAGAAAAACACCTTTGTGTGTATGTTTTGATGCTTACAGTACATTCAAGTTAATTAAATAATTTTAAGGTAAAATTAATTGGTGAAATAAAATAAATAAAAGATCAATGTTTGGTTGAAAAGCTCAATCTCTAAATGAAGTCCTGACAGGAAGTGCCCGTCTCAGAGGTGAAGTTCGAAAATTGAAGCATGTGTTGTAATCACACTTAATTTCATTTGTGCCTGTGTCTCAGCTGCTTACCAGGCAAAATAAACAGTGAGTTAGATCACATCACATTTAGCTCTGTCTTGCTCCTTAAAAGACGTAGCCTATAGCAAATGGTAGGCATTAGCTGTTGGTTTGCTAAGTGAAATCAATACTTCACTAAAACAGTCATTAGCAGACCACAGTGCAAAATATATGTTGATGGAACCATTAACTTCTTCACATGAATGCATTAATTGCTTACAGTGTTCTGCTCTATGGCATCAGTCAGATAGCCTATAGTTTGAAGTTGGCTATAGAAACAAAGCGGTTGTGTCGACTGCATGTTTATGGTTTGACATTTGATATTGGCATATTTAGGGACCGTCTCTAAAGTTACACAGGATGTAAACACTTTTCTCATTTTAATAGCTATTGAGGATAATAACTTACAGTAACAAATATAAGCCTTAACTATAATGCACACCTTTTACATTTTTTATACTATTACAATAAACTGTAAATAAGAAAGGCGACATAGTGGCGTAGTAGGTAGTGCTGTCACCTCACAGCAAGAAGGTCGCTGGTTCGAGCCTCGGCTGGGTCAGTTGGTGTTTCTGTGTGGAGTTTGCATGTTCTCCCTGCGTTCGCGTGGGTTTCCTCCAGGTGCTCAGGCTTCCCCAACAGTTCAAAGACATGCGGTACAGGTGAATTGGGGAGGCTAAATTGTCCGTATTGCATGTGTGTGAATGAGTGTGTATGAATGTTTTCCAGAGATGGGTTGCAGCTGGAAGCACATCCGTTGTGTAAAACATGTGCTGGATAAGTTGGCGATTTATTCCGCTGTGGCAATCCCAGATTAATAAAGGGATTAAGCCGAAAAGAAAATGAATGAATGAATGAATTTAAATAAGAATATTTTTTTTAACCAAATGCTAAATATCGTGTTTTAAAGCTCAATAGCTTTATAGGTCAATGACTTACAGTCACAAAACAACTGTAAGTGTTCCAAGTAGTTCTCAAATATAATGAACACCTTTTACATTTTTGATGCTTATTACAGTAAACTATAAATCCAAGATCAAAAATGTTGTTTTACATATTACCGACTGTCCTCAAATGTTATATATTATTTTTTTAACCTCAATAGCTTTATAGAAGAATGGCATACAATCAGAAAACCCACTGTAAAGCGTTGATGTAGTTCACCTTTTACATTTTTGTTGATTACAGTAGGCTAAAACTGTAAATCTGAGGTCAAAAATGCTATTTTACAGAAGTAAATGTTTTTAGGGGCGAGGCAGTGGCGCTGTAGGTAGTGCTGTCGCCTCACAGCAAGAAGGTCGTTGGGTCGCTGGTTCGAACCTCGGCTCAGTTGGCGTTTCTGTGTGGAGTTTGCATGTTCTCCCTGTCTTCGCGTGGGTTTCCTCCGGGTTCTCCGGTTTCCCCCACAGTCCAAAGACATGCGGTACAGGTGAATTAGGTATGCTAAATTGTCTGTAGTGTGTGTGTGAATGTTTCTCAGAGATGGGTTGTGGCTGGAAGGGCATTCGCTGCGTAAGAACTTGCTGGATAAGTTGGCGGTTCATTCTGCTGTGGCGACCCCGGATTTATAAAGGGACTAAGCTGACAAGAAAATGAATAAATGTTTTTAAATGCTAAATATTTAAAACTCAATACCTTTATAAAAGAATAAAATAACAGAATAAAAGAAGACAGAAGGTCAATAAAAGTGTTGAAAAGAAAAAGACAGAGAAGCCTATGTGGGGACCTAAAACCACCATTTCTGGGGCCTCGTGTATCAACGCTGCGTACGCACAAAAACTTTGTGTACGCCAGGTTTCACGCTCAGAATCGATCACGTTTGGATTTACTAACAATGAACTGAACGTGGGAATGTGCGCAGCTTCACGGCAGCTTTCTGGCTGGCGTACGCACATTTTTTGTGCGTGTCTGTTTTATTTCCATTGGCGACTCCTAGAGGCAGTTGTGTTAAATTCCTCTCTACAAAATGTCTGAGCCTTGCAATGGCAGCTGTATGAGACGGGTTCATCTAGTAGGTATGTAAGGTTTCCATACCATACAGTTGACCAGCTAAACATTAAAGCACAATGTGCAGCAGTCGCCTGTTTTCCCAGTGTAATCTGAGCGATCTACTGCACGCACATTGCTATAAAGACACTATCTGAAGATGAATTTGCATGCGTGAATCAGAAGCATTCCCATTCAATAAATGTGCAAATAGTTTATGCTCGAACGTGCCAATACATGATCACGTGCGTTTTACGAGGTGCGCCACTGAGACTGCTAAGGGTACTGCAACATTATACAGATATAAACCACACTATTTCTATTTTTAAATGCACTCAGTGCGATGTTCAGACCCAACTGTGTTAACCGCATCAGCTAAACTCTCCCACTCTATTTTTTTTCTTTTGTTGTTAATTCCGGAGAACAAACTTGCAAATAACACCGCTTTTCTCCGGTCTACCTCCGAAAGCAGCACCTCCATTTCACATTCTGTTCAAAGTTTCTCTTTTTGCTTGCTTTTGCCTTTGCTTTTTCGTTAGGTTTTGCCATTAGCATAGTCATTAGCATATTCATACGGGGGAGGAGGCAGGGAGGGGTTTTGTGCTCGTGCATGTTGCGCTCAGTTTTACGTTCATTCGGATGTACAAAAGAATATGCGTGAGATTCGGCATACGCAGTGTTTCATACATCTGAATTTTTTCCTGCGTACGCACATTTACAGCTTTGTGCGTACGCAATGTTTTAGTAAGATTTCCACGCAAGTCTTCGTACATGAGGCCCCAGGTCTCCACCTGCTGTGGAAGAAATGTGCAAAAAAGCGCATGCACCACATTTTTTTGCCACCAAAAAATTTAATGATACAAAAATGAAAAAGTGTTTTGGCCAAAAAAAAGTTTTGCAAAAACAAAAAACAAGCAAAAAAAATAAATAAATAACAACAACAGCAGTGTCGTACAAAAAATGGGACACAAAAAATATTGTGCAATAAAGTGCATCTATAAAATGCAGCCGAAAAAAGGTGCATGCACAACACAATTTTAAGGGTCCAAAAATGTAAAAAAGTTGTGTTGGGCCAAAAAGTATCACTATGTACAAAACAAGTGTGTGTTGTGCAATAAAAGTGCAAAAATGTAGTGTGCAAAAACAAAACATAAATTAGTGCAAAAATGAGCCTTTTCTTTTTGCTGTGTTGTTCATCTGTTTTGTAAATTGTTGTACAAATTTTTACGTGATGGTTATTAGTGCCTTCTTTATTAATTATAATTAAAGTACTAAATAAAATATTAATAAAAACATATTGACGTGATACATTGCCTTCAACTTTCCTTTTACATGTATTTTTTTCATGTTAAAAAAATCCTAATAGAGGTTATAGTTGTGTTTAGTCATACTAATCAGTTGTGTTTAGTCATACTAATCTACTTCACAGAAAGTTATGACTACAATTTTCAGTATAAACTAAAGCATTATAAATTGTTAATTTTACTTGAACTTATTATTAAATATGATTTGTACTATACTAATACTATTATTTGTAACATATATTATATATATAAATATATATATTTGTATATATATATATATATATATATATATATATATACACACACACC